AATGCTAGGATTGTAGGATGATAAACCCATCTAATCCAACCCCTTGCTATGCAGGAACACACAAATTAATAATAATAATAATAATAATAATAATAATAATAATAATAATAATAAACAACAAAACAAACAACACTAATAATATAGTATAAACTAATAATATTAGTAAATTATTATATTATATTATATTATATTATATTATAATATTATATATATTATTTAATTATTATATATATTATATTATTTATATTTATATTTATATTTATATTATAATTAAATATTAATAATATATAATATTTAATATTATATATATATTTATATTATATTATATTATAATAATATAATAAATTAATAAATAATACTATATTTATAAACTAAATTATACTATATTTAGTTTATAAATATAGTATAAACTAATAATAGTAATAAAGTAATAATAATGTGGAGCCCCCCGTGGCGCAGTGGATTAAAGCACTGAGCTGCTGAGCTTGTTGATCGAAAGGTCGCAGGTTCGATTCCGGGGAGCGGCGTGAGCTTCTGCTGTCAGCCCTAGCTTCTGCCAACCTAGCAGTTCGAAAACATGCAAATGTGAGTAGATCAATAGGTACCACTCCGGTGGGAAGGTAAGGGCGCTCCATGCAGTCATGCCGGCCACATGACCTTGGAGGTGCCTACGGACAACGCCGGCTCTTCGGCTTAGAAATGGAGATGAGCACCACACCCCAGAGTCAGACATGACTGGACTTAATGTCAGGGGACAACCTTTACCTAATAATAATATGTAATAATAGCAATACTACTGCTAATAATTATTATATAAAATAAATAATAATACTGATAATATAAAGTAATTACGATAATGATAATAATAAATAGTAACATTAAAATAATATGCTGCAATAATAATATGTAATAATAACAATACTACTAATATAATAACTAATAACACTAATATGAATAATAATATAAAGTGATCATAATATGTAGTAATACTGCTAATAATAATACTGATGATAATAATATGTAATCATAACAATAAAAATTACTACTAATAATAATATAAAGTAATAATAATATGTAATAATAACAATACTAGTATTACTATAGGGCCTCCAGGTGGTGCAGCAGGTTAAACCTACCCAACCTACCTATCCGAACGTATCTCGGCCTATCAGCCCACCAGGACCCTAAGATCTTCTGGGGAGGCCCTGCTCTCTATCCCGCCTGCTTCACAGGTGCGGCTGGCGGGGACGAGAGACAGGGCCTTTTCTGTGGTGGCCCCTCGGCTATGGAACGCCCTTCCCATGGAGGTAAGATCAGCCCCCTTGCTGATGGTGTTCCGAAGAAGATTAAAAACCTGGATGTTCGAACAGGCATTTGGTTAATCGGTGCAATGAATGTGATGATTACAGGAATTGTAATATGGATGACAAAAATGGATCACGATTTTAGTCATGAGATGCATTGGGTTGTTATTGTTGTGTCAATATTGTGTATTATGCTTTTATGGTTTTAAATTGTATATTGTTGACTGTTGTACCTTTGTTGTAAACCGCGTTGAGTCGCCTGTTAGGCTGAGAAACTGCGGTATACAAGTAAAGTAAATAAAATAAAATAAATAAAATAAACCACTGAGCTGCTGAACTTGCTGACCGAAAGGTTGGCAGTTCGAATCCAGGGCACGGGGTGAACTCCCGCTGTTAGGCCCAGCTTCTGCCAACCTAGCAGTTCGAAAACATGCAAATGTGAGTAGATCAATAAGTTCTGCTTCTGCAGGAAGGTAACGGCGCTCCATGCAGTCATGCTGGCCACATGACCTTGGAGGTGTCTACGGACAACACCAGCTCTTCAGCTTAGAAGTGGAGATAAGCAGTACCCCTCAGAATTGGACATGACTAGACTTAAAGTCAGGGGAAAACCTTTACCTTTACCTCACTATTACTACAATTACCATACTACTATACTACTATATACAAAATACTATTATTATTATAATATTATAATATAATATAAATAATAATACTAATAATTAGGTTCTTGTGGGTTTTTTCGGGCTATAGAGCCATGTTCTAGAGGCATTTCTCCTGACGTTTCGCCTGCATCTATGGCAAGCATCCTCAGAGGTAGTGAGGTCTGTTGGAAGTAGGAAAATGGGTTTATATATCTGTGGAATGGCTGGGGTGGAGCAAGGAGCTCTTCCCTGCTGCAGTTAGGTGTGAATGTTAGCTGATCACCTTCATTAGCATTTGAAGGCCTGCCTGAGCCTGGGAAAATCTGTTGCTGGGAGGTGTTAATCTGTGCCTGGTTTTTTCCTCTCTGTGTTTTGCTGTTGTAATTTTAGAGTTTTTTAATACTGGTAGCCAGATTTTGTTCATTTTCATGGTCTCTTCCTTTCTGTTGAAATTCTCCACATGCTTGTGGATTTCAATGGCTTCTCTGTGTAGTCTGACATGGTGGTTGTTGGTGTGGTCCAGCATTTCTGTGTTCTCAAATAATATGCTGTGTCCAGGTTGGTTCATCAGGTGCTCTGCTATGGCTGACTTCTCTGGTTGGAGTAGTCTGCAGTGCCTTTCATGTTCCTTGATGCGTGTCTGGGCGCTGCGTTTGGTGGTCCCTATGTAGACTTGTCCACAGCTGCATGGTATACGGTAGACTCCTGCAGAGGTGAGAGGATCCCTCTTGTCCTTTGCTGAACGTAGCATTTGTTGGATTTTCTTGGTGGGTTTGTAGATTGTTTGTATGTTGTGTTTCCTCATCAGCTTCCCTATGCGGTCAGTGGTTCCCTTGATGTATGGCAGGAACACTTTTCCTCTGGGTGGATCTTCATCTTTACTCTCGTGGCTTGTTCTTGGTCTTGCAGCTCTTCTGATGTCTGAGGTTGAGTATCCATTGGCCTGGAGAGCCCAGTTGAGGTGGTTCAGTTCATCTTGGAGGAGGTGGGGTTCGCAGATTCTTTTTGCACGGTCTGCCAAGGCTTTGATGGTGCTTCTTTTTTCACTTGGGTGATGGTTGGAGTTTTTATGTAGATATCTATCTGTGTGTGTGGGTTTTCTGTAGACGGTGTGACCCAATTGTTGATCTGGTTTGCGGATGACTAGGACATCTAGAAAAGGCAGTCTTCCTTCATTTTCTTTTTCCATGGTGAACTGGATGTTTGGGTGGATGCTGTTAAGATGGTCCAGGAACCTGTTGAGTTCTTCTTCTCCATGGCTCCAAATGGTGGTGTCATCCACATATCTGAACCATATCGTGGGCTTTTTGGTTGCTGTCTCCAGGGCTTGTTCTTCAAAGTGTTCCATGTAGAAGTTAGCTATGACCGGGCTTAATTACTAATTAATTAGTAATTAAATTACTAATAATTTAAAAGGTCTGGAGAACAAGCCCTATGAGGAACGGCTTAAGGAGCTGGGCATGTTTAGCCTGAAGAAGAGAAGGCTGAGAGGGGATATGATAGCCATGTATAAATATGTGAGAGGAAGCCACAGGGAGGAGGGAGCAAGCTTGTTTTCTGCTTCCTTGGAGACTAGGACGCGGAACAATGGCTTCAAACTACAAGAGAGGAGATTCCATCTGAACATGAGGAAGAACTTCCTGACTGTGAGAGCCGTTCAGCAGTGGAACTCTCTGCCCCGGAGTGTGGTGGAGGCTCCTTCTTTGGAAGCTTTTAAACAGAGGCTGGATGGCCATCTGTCAGGGGTGATTTGAATGCAATATTCCTGCTTCTTGGCAGCGGGTTGGACTGGATGGCCCATGAGGTCTCTTCCAACTCTTTGATTCTATGATTCTATAATATAAGGTAATAATAATATGCAATAACAATACTGCTAATAATAATAATATTGTAATACAATATAAGGAGCAGTGGGTTAAAGCCCTGAGCTGCTGAGCTTGTTGATCGAAAGGTCGCAGGTTCGATTCCGGGGAGCGGCGTGAGCTACTGCTGTCAGCCCTAGCTTCTGCCAACCTAGCAATTCGAAAACATGCAAATGTGAGTAGATCAATAGGTACCGCTCCGGCGGGAAGGTAAGGGCGCTCCATGCAGTCATGCCGGCCACATGACCTTGGAGGTGCCTACGGACAACGCCGGCTCTTCGGCTTAGAAATGGAGATGAGCACCACACCCCAGAGTCAGACATGACTGGACTAAATGTCAGGGGACTACCTTTACCTTTAATACAATATAAATAAATAATACTAGTCGTATAAAATAATAATAATAAGAATATAAAGTAATCATAATATAAAGTAATAATAATTACAATAAACAATAATAATACTAAAATAATCTATTATTATAATATGTAATAATAACAATATTGGTAATAATAATACTATAATATAAATACTAATACTAATAATAATATGCAATAATAACAATGCTACTGCTAATAATATACTACAATACAAATAAATAATACTAATAGTATAAAGTAATAATAAATAAACTAATACAAATAATAATATAAAATAATATGAACAATACTGCTAATGATATAAATAATAACACTAAAAATAGAAAATAATATTATAATATAAATAATACTAATATAAAGTCACAATGATAATGATAATAGTAATAATAAATCATAATAGTAATAATAACCACCCTTTTTTTGCACCGCAGGTGCGGTTGCGTCACCATGCTGCGTTCGCCCAACAAGACCACGGCAGTCAAGCAATGGGAGCAGCGGTGGATCAAGAATTGCCTCTGCGGCGGGTTATGGAAGCAGATGCCCTTCGGTTGCTAGAAAACCCCAGACGTTTAGAGCATAAAACAAGGACTTCGTAAGCCAAACAGATCAATTGACACTTCCACGAGCCAATGGGAGGCTCCGACCCTGCACTATTTTTCTGCTTCCAGTGAGACATTTGGTGTTGGCCTTCAATCCTTAAACCCTGCAAAGTGATCAGCACTGAGCTGCTAGTTTTCTACTTGCATGGCGCTGATTCTTTCTTCTTGTTGTTTACAAAAGTTTTGCAAATAAAACACACAGCGGAAGCGCTTCACTGCAGAATCATGCTTTTAATGACTATTTTGATATGAATATCAAGCCAATACAAAGTGTGTGGTATAGTATGGGGTATGGTATGTATGAGTTAAGCCTGCTTATTTCAATACTGGAACCAGAAACGACATTGATGCAGCATCAGCTATGGCTGCAGGCGAACTGGAAGTCTGCTGTGTTTGGATAGCAATAAAAAAGTTGCCTCATGAGACTCTGCAATAAGGATGGCTTAGTTGGGAGATGCCATGGTGCTATTGATCCAGGGCAAGTACGGGGCGATGCGCGTGTAAATGCCCGGCTTCCTCCAGTTGCCGCAAACGCGGGATCCGGCTGTCACAACGCCTTCGGCCACGCCGTGGCACACGAGGGGCCCTCCCGAGTCGCCCTGCAACACAGGAGCAAAAGGTTGGGAAAGGGGCCCCCAAAGGCCATCCAGTCCAGTCCCATTTTGGAAAGACCCCATTCCAAACCCTCCCACTCCATTTTGAAACATTACATATGATTCACTATTAAATGCTCACCTTAACATTCAAAACACGTGAAGAGGAAAATAACATTTAACCGTTTATCTTACTCAGAAGTACAACACATTGAGGGACATATGAACCCATGATATCTCGTTTTTTTCAATTTTCAATTAAACATTCGATTTTCTATATATATATGTGTGTGTGTGTTACTTGATTTTGAATCGGATATCGAAAATGAAAAAGGCTGTGTTCTTCATTATTTTATTCGACTCGGATCCAAAATACAAAATGGAAAAACGGGTTGCTGGGCCAAATGGGGTTTACGAGACCTGGTTTTTCATTGGAAAAACAAAAGAACAAATGATACGTGGGTACATGATTTTGATCACCTGGTAAAATATAAAAATATTGGCCTCCTGTAAACATGGACCGCAATTGGTCTGAGGCAGTGGAAATTGCCTCAGGGGACGAGAGATAGGGCCTTCTCGGTGGTGGCTCCTCGGCTGTGGAACACCCTTCCTGTGGACATCAGACTGGCTCCCTCCCTGTTGATGTTCCGCAGGAAATTAAAGACTTGGTTGTTCAAGAAGGCGTTCAAACAAGAAGTGCAATGATTGGTAATGACTATAGGAATGGAACAAGGGAAAAGGATACTGGATTGTGGTTTGGACGATGAGACGACGCGGAATGGCTTTTGTAGTAATGATGATGTGTTTTGATGATGATGTTTTTGTTATTGCTGGATTGTGGGTCATTTTATATTGTGTCTTGAATTTTGAACCTTGTTCTTTCTATGTTGTACACCGCTGTGAGTCGCCCCCGGGCTGAGAACAGCGGTATATAAGCAAAGTAAATAAATAAATAAATACATTTGAACAGAGGCCACAGTTGACCCACATGACCAATGGAAATGTGAACTCAGGCTGCAATTGACCCGAGGCTGTGGAAATGTGAACATGGGCCACAATTGGCCCACATGGTTGATGGAAATGCAAACACAGGACGCAATTGGCCTGGGGCTGTGGAAATGCAAACATGGGATGCAATTGGCCTGGGGCTGTGGAAATGTGAACATGGGATGCAATTGGCCCACGTGGTTGATGGAAATGCGAGCGTGGACTACAATTGGCCCGGGGCAGTGAGGATATGAACATGGGCCATAATTGGCCCATGTGACTGATGGAAATGTGACCGTGGGCTGCATTTGGCTGGGGGGGGGGGGTGTGGATATGTGAACATGGGGTGCAATTGGCCAGGGGAAAATGTGAACATGGGTCACAATTGGCCTGGGGCTGAAAAAATGTGAACATGGGCCACAATTGACCCGCCACAACTGGCCCAGGGCACTGGAGATGTGAAGATGGGCCACAATTAGGCTACATCTCCGATGGCAATGTGAACATGGGCCTTGATTGGCCTGGGGTAGTCGAATTGTGAACATGGGCCACAACTGACCTGCGTGACCATTGGAAATGTGAGCATGGGCCACATTTGGCTGGGGCCGGTGGGCGTGTGAACATGGGCCACAATTGACCCACGTGACCAAAGGAAATATAAACATGGAGTGGAATTGGCTGGGATGGGAGAAGATGCGAACATGGGTCACAATTGGCCCGCATGACCTATGGAAATACAAACATGGACCGCAATTGGCCTGGGGCGTTGGAGGTGTGAACATGGGCCACAATTGGCCCACATTTTTTTGTTGTTGTGTCAGGAGCGACTTGAGAAACTGCAAGTTGCTTCTGGTGTGAGAGAACTGGCCGTCTGCAAGGACGTTGCCCAGATGATGCCCAGATGTTTTTGATGTTTTACCATCCTTGTCAGAGACTTCCCTCATGTCCCCACATGTGGAGCTGGAGCTGAGAGAGGGAGCTCATCTGCGCTCTCCCTGGATTCGAACCTGTGACCTGTCTATCTTCCATCCTGACAACACAGGGGTTTAACCCACTGCGCCACTGGGGGCTCCAATTGGTCCACATGACTGTGGAAATGTGAACATGGGCAGCAATTGACCTGGGGCATTGAAAATGTGGGCACAGGCTGCAATTGTCCCACATGGCCGATGAAAATGTGAACATGGGCTGCAATTGGCCTGAGCTGTGGCTGTGAACACGGGCCACAATTGGTCCACATGGCCAATGGATATGTGGGCATGGGCCACCATTAGCCCACATGGCCAATTAAGATGCAAACGTGGGCCGCAATTGGCCTGGAGTGATGGAGATGCAAGCATGTGCAACAGTTGGCCCCAGGCATGCCTGTTCTAGATACTACCATCCTATTGATGCAGACTAGAATTGCATTGGCCTTTTTCACTGCCGCATCACACTCTTGGCTCGTGTTCCGCTTGTGATCTGTTAAGACTCCATGATATCTATAGATCTATGTTGAATAGACAATAGTTTGGTTTGGGTATTCCCTCCCAGCAGAAGAGGAGCCGTTGGGAAGAGGGTGATGAAGCCATGGTCACCATCCCTGTTTGGTTCCCGCATGCTGCCCTACCTTGCAGGTATCCCTGCGCACGCTCTTGATCTCGGTGCACATCATGTTCTGGGTGATCTCCCCGTCGTGGAAGCGCCGCTCGTTGCACTCAGACCGGCTCATAATGGGCAATTCAGCCGACTGCAGCACGTCTGGCCGCTGGCGGGTGTTCTTGGTGTAGCCCCATCCAGCCGCTAGGCAAAAGGTCCCAGCCGGCAGCTCCTGGTCCTCGTTTTGGAGCGCCAAGGTCTTCACATCGGGGCCCAGGACGGCTGGCTCGGCCAGCTGGCGCAAGGGAAAAGAGGAGAATGAATGCCAACACGTTTGTATATACTAAGCTTCCCTAGCAAAAGATGGGGGACTGAGGCTTTCTAGGGAAATAAGTGTTTTGAATCTGGATTCCCACCTGAATTAGAAGGAGGTCATCCTCGTTGGTTTCCACGCTGCTCCCGGGGTGGGCGACCAGGCGGCGGACACTGTACAGCCGTTTGTTGGGTTCGGGGGCTGTGAGCGAATGGGCCCCTAAAAGCACCTGGAAGGTCCCGTTGTTTCTGCAGCCAGAAAGGAAAAAGGGCTCTCATTGGGGATTTGGTCACATACCTGTTCCCAGGTGGACATGCTCGCCTATTGTGTCTTGCCTCCAGCTGAAAGGATTATTGCTATTTGTATTCCAGGCACATTGCTGCTCGCTTCTAGGGTGGGTTTTGGACTGGACGCAGGCCAGGATGCATTGTTTAGTAGCCCATGTCAAATCTTTCTATAGCTCTATATATCTACGTCGAAGTGTGCCCAGTTGCCTGTCTCTTTGTCCCACGAAAAGCTATGGCTAGGTGAAGTGGCCCTCTGCAATTTTTGGTCATGTTGGGAGCGACTTGAGAAACTGCAAGTGGCTTCTGGTGTGAGAGAATTGGCCATCTGCAAGGAGGTTGCCCAGGGGACACCCGGATGATTGGATGTTTTTATCATCCTTGTGGGAGGCTTCTCTCATGTCCCCGCATGAAGAGCTGGAGCTGATAGAGGGAGCTCATCTCTCCCCGGATTTGAACCTGTGATCTGTCGGTCTTCAGTCCTGCCGGCACAGGGGTTTAACCCACTGCGCCACCGAGGGCTCCGCCCTCTGCAATGCCACCAGGAAAGAAAAGTGACCTGTGTATGAAAAGGAAGGAAGGAAGATGGAAGGAAGGAAGGAAGGAAGGGAGGGAGGGAGGGAGGGAGGGAGGGAGGAAGGAAGGAAGGAAGGAAGGAAGGAAGGAAGGAAGGAGGAGGAAGGAAGGAAGGAGGGAAGGAAGGAAGGAAAGGAAGGAAGAAAGGAAGCCACTAAGAGAGCCATGTGTTGCAAAGCGGGCTCTCTCAGAGTTGGGGAAGGAAGAAAAAAAAAAAAGAAAAAGAAGGGAAAGAAGAAAGGAAGGAGAGGAAGGAAGAAGTGAGAAAGAAAGAAAGAAAGAAAGAAAGAAAGAAAGAAAGAAAGAAGAGGGATGAAAGATGGAAGATAAAGAAAGGGGGAAACGTATGAGGGGAGGGAAAGGAAAGGAAGGAAGAGAAAAAGAAAGGAGAGAAGGACAAGAGGGAGAAAGAGGGAGGGAGAAAGGGAGACGAAAGACAAGAAGGAAGAAGGAAGGAAGGAAGGGAAGAGGAAGGAGGAAGGAAGAAGAAGGAAGGAAGGAGGGAAGGAAAAGAAAGAAAAGGAAGGAAGAGAAGGAAAGGAAAGAGGAAGGAAGGAAGGAAGGAAGGAAGGAAGAAAAAGAAAGAAAAGGAGAAGGGTGGGAAAGAGAAAGAGAGAATGACAGGGAGGGAGGGAAAACACAGGGTAGGAAGAGTGGGAAAGATAGAAGAAAGAGAGGGGGAGAAAAAAGAAAAAAGCAAGAAAGAAAAGAAGGAAGAAGAAAGAAAAGGAGAAGGGAGGGAGAAAGAGAGAAGAAAGACACGAAAAAAGGAAGGAGAAAGGAAAGAAAGAAGGAAGGAAGAAAAGAAGGATGAAAAGAAAGATGGAAAGAAAGGAAGGAAGGAAGGAAGGAGCCACTACGAGAGCCATGTGTTGCAAAGTGGGCTCTCTCAGAGCCAGGAAAAAAAAAAAAAAAAAGAAAGAAAGAAAGAAAGAAAGAAAGAAAGAAAGAGAAAGAAAGAAAAAAGAAAGAAAGAAAGAAAGAAGAAAAAAAAAGAAAGAAAAGGGGGAGAAAGAAGAGAAAAAGAAAGGAGAAAAGGTATGAGGGGAGGAAAAGAGAAAGAAAGAAGAAAAAAGGAAGGAAGGAGAAGAAAAGAGGAGAAAAGGAGAGTGATCCTGTTGCCCTTTTGGTCCATTTGTTGAGACCTTAGAGCATAAGCAGACAAAGGTGAGTGAGGATGGCTGTGCAGATTTTGTGTGCATTGAAGTAAAATGCATGCTATATTATCACCCTCATTTCTTCTTACTATTTTTATTTATTTATTTTATTTATCTACTACATTTATATACTGTCCCTCTCAACCTGCAGGCAACTCGGGGCGGTTTACAGTCAGTACCAAGACCATAAAATACAATTACAATACACTTAAAAACATTAAGACAATATAAAACCCCTGCAAAGTCAATATAAAACCCCAGCAAAGTCAATTATATCATTAGGGTCTCCTTGCTAAAACATTGAAGGAAGAAAGGAAAGGAAAGGAAGAAGGGAAAGGAAAGGAAAGGAAAGGAAAGGAAAGGAAAGGAAAAGAAAAGAAAAAAATGAAAAGAAAAGAAAGAAAAGAAAGAAAGAAAGGAAGGAAGGAAGGAAGGAAGAAAGGGAAGGGAAAGGAAAGGAAAGGAAAAGAAAAGAAAAAATGAAAAGAAAAGAAAGAAAAGAAAAGAAAGAAAGAAAGAAAGAAAGAAAGAAAGAAAGAAAGAAAGAAAAGAAAGAAAAGAAAATAGGAGGGAGGGCAAGGGAATAAAAAAACATAATTAATGATGGAAAGAAGAGAAAGAAAAAGGGGGGAAAGTACAGAGAAGGAAGAGGAAGCAGGGAGTCAGCGGCCACACTGCTTTCCAGATGCCACCCAGTATAAACACTAGCTGGGCTATAATAATAAATTAGAACAAAGCAATTACAGTATAGATTGGAACTGCCAACAAGCAGGACACTGGTCTTTGGTGGCAGTTGCCATTTTTAGCCACAGTGATGGGTTTGGACTACACTTCCCATTGTTTGGGAATTATAGTTTTCCAGATGTGGCCAAACGGGCACACTCACGTGTCTTCCAAGCAGTGGGCGGCGCTCAGCACCCATTCCTGGGCAATGAGGAACCCTCCGCAGATGTGCTTGCCACCTTCTTGCAAGGAGGCCATGTAGGGCATGGTGTGCGGGGTGGCATCCCGTCCCCCCAAGATGCGGCCCCGGGGCCGGCCTGTGAGAGAGAGGCCGAGAGAAAGGTCAACCAAAACCATCATTTGGATGGCCATTGGAAAGAGTCCTCCAAATATCCCAAAACTCCTTGAAGTCATTCACAGCGTTCCAAGAGAGAGAAAGCAGCGCATTATCATTATTTTTATTATAATTACGATTAACAATAATGATAATAGACATTTGATGGATGTCAAGCGACTCACCATAAGCGCAAATGGCACTGCAGAATAAAATGATCCCGATGGACGAAAGCATCCTTGCGGGTCCCGACGTCAACATGATGAATACCACCGAATTCAGAGATATTTCTTATATATGTTCGGGAAGTTCCTGGTTTGAGATCAGAGCTCCACCGAAAGGAGAACATTTCCGGCTCCAAAAACAAACACATCATGGCCCTTTCGCAGCTGTTTCTTTTTGGCACCGACACCGGAAAGCATTGCTTCCTCTTCTGGAATTGAGATAAGTGGGGATTGTTTCGCTGAGTGAACTCTCACCATCCTTTCAGAAACAAGAGCCAGCGGGACCAAGAAAGAGATGCGTTCTGTCGCATTGCCACCTTCTGAGCCCTCCCGATGATGGATAGCCACCTAGCCTGGCTTCATTCTATTATGCAAGAAGACACCATCCAAACCCTCCCAACAGATGGACACCCAGTCCAGCTTCATTCTACTATGCAGGAGGACATGATCCAATCCCTCCTGACAGATTACTACCCAGTCCAACTTCATTCTACTATGCAGGGAGACACCATCCAATCACTCCTGACCGATGGTCATCCAGTCCACCGTCATTCTACAATGAGAGAAGGCACCACCCAAACCCTCTCTAGAGATGGCCATCATGTCCAGCTTCATTCGACTATTCAGGAAGACACCACCCAATCCCCCCCGACAGATGGCTATCTAGTCCAGCTTCATTCTACTATGCAGGGAGACACCATCCAATCCCTCCTGACAGATGGCTATCTAGTCCAGCTTCATTCTACTATGCAGGGAGGCACCACCCAGTCCCTCCAGACAGATGGCCATCCAGTCCAGCTTCATTCTAGTATGAAGGAAGACACCATCCCGGCCCCCCGACAAATGGCCATTTAGTTCGGCTTCATTCTACTATGCAGGAAGACACCATCCAATCCCCCCTGACAAATGGCCATCCTATCCAGCTTCATTCTACTATGCAGGAAGACACCATCTGAGCCCCCCGACAGATGGCCATCTAGTCCGGCTTCATTCTACTATGCAGGAAGACACCATCCAATCCCCCCTGACAAATGGCCATCCTGTCCAGCTTCATTCTACTATGCAGGAAGACACCATCTGAGCCCCCCGACAGATGGCCAGCTTCATTCTACTATGCAGAGAGACACCATCCAATCCCTCCTGGCAGATGGTCATCCAGTCCAGCTTCATTCTAGTATGCAGGAAGACACCATCCAATCCCCCCTGACAAATGGCCATCCAGTCCAGCTTCATTCTACTATGCAGGGAGACACCATCCAATCCCCCCTGACAAATGGCCATCCAGTCCAGCTTCATTCTACTATGCAGGGAGACACCATCCAATCCCCCCTGACAAATGGCCATCCAGTCCAGCTTCATTCTACTATGCAGGAGGACAAGCCCCCCTGACAAATGGCCATCCAGTCCAGCTTCATTCTACTATGCAGGGAGACACCATCCAATCCCCCCTGACAAATGGCCATCCAGTCCAGCTTCATTCTACTATGCAGGGAGACACCATCCAATCCCCCCTGACAAATGGCCATCCAGTCCAGCTTCATTCTACTATGCAGGGAGACACCATCCAATCCCCCCTGACAAATGGCCATCCAGTCCAGCTTCATTCTACTATGCAGGGAGACACCATCTACCCCCCTGACAAATGGCCATCCAGTCCAGCTTCATTCTACTATGCAGGGAGACACCATCCAATCCCCCCTGACAAATGGCCATCCAGTCCAGCTTCATTCTACTATGCAGGGAGACACCATCTAGTCATCCCCCCTGACAAATGGCCATCCAGTCCAGCTTCATTCTACTATGCAGGGAGACACCATCCAATCCCCCCTGACAAATGGCCATCCAGTCCAGCTTCATTCTACTATGCAGGGAGACACCATCCAATCCCCCCTGACAAATGGCCATCCAGTCCAGCTTCATTCTACTATGCAGGGAGACACCATCTAGTCACTCCTGACAGATGGCCATCCAGTCCAGCTTCATTCTACTATGCAGGGAGACACCATCCAATCCCCCCTGACAAATGGCCATCCAGTCCAGCTTCATTCTACTATGCAGGAAGACACCATCTAATCCCTCCTGACAGATGGCCATCCAGTCCAGCTTCATTCTACTATGCAGGGAGACACCATCCAATCCCCCCTGACAAATGGCCATCCAGTCCAGCTTCATTCTACTATGCAGGGAGACACCATCCAATCCCCCCTGACAAATGGCCATCCAGTCCAGCTTCATTCTACTATGCAGGGAGACACCATCCAATCCCCCCTGACAAATGGCCATCCAGTCCAGCTTCATTCTACTATGCAGGGAGACACCATCTAGTCACTCCTGACAGATGGCCATCCAGTCCAGCTTCATTCTACTATGCAGGGAGACACCATCCAATCCCCCCTGACAAATGGCCATCCAGTCCAGCTTCATTCTACTATGCAGGGAGACACCATCCAATCCCCCCTGACAAATGGCCATCCAGTCCAGCTTCATTCTACTATGCAGGGAGACACCATCTAGTCACTCCTGACAAATGGCCATCCAGTCCAGCTTCATTCTACTATGCAGGGAGACACCATCCAATCCCCCCTGACAAATGGCCATCCAGTCCAGCTTCATTCTACTATGCAGGGAGACACCATCCAATCCCCCCTGACAAATGGCCATCCAGTCCAGCTTCATTCTACTATGCAGGGAGACACCATCCAATCCCCCCTGACAAATGGCCATCCAGTCCAGCTTCATTCTACTATGCAGGGAGACACCATCTAGTCACTCCTGACAAATGGCCATCCAGTCCAGCTTCATTCTACTATGCAGGGAGACACCATCCAATCCCCCCTGACAAATGGCCATCCAGTCCAGCTTCATTCTACTATGCAGGGAGACACCATCCAATCCCCCCTGACAAATGGCCATCCAGTCCAGCTTCATTCTACTATGCAGGGAGACACCATCCAATCCCCCCTGACAAATGGCCATCCAGTCCAGCTTCATTCTACTATGCAGGGAGACACCATCTAGTCACTCCTGACAAATGGCCATCCAGTCCAGCTTCATTCTACTATGCAGGGAGACACCATCCAATCCCCCCTGACAAATGGCCATCCAGTCCAGCTTCATTCTACTATGCAGGGAGACACCATCCAATCCCCCCTGACAAATGGCCATCCAGTCCAGCTTCATTCTACTATGCAGGGAGACACCATCCAATCCCCCCTGACAAATGGCCATCCAGTCCAGCTTCATTCTACTATGCAGGGAGACACCATCTAGTCACTCCTGACCAATGGTCATCCAGTCTACCTTCATTCTACAATGAGAGAAGGCACCATCCAAACCCTCTCTAGAGATGGCCATCATGTCCAGCTTCATTCTACTATTCAGGAAGACACCATCCAATCCCTCGTTGCAGATGGTCTTCTCTTTGCAAGACTTAAAATATCTATCTGTCTATCTATCTATCTATCTATCTATCTATCTATCTATCTATCTATCTATCTATCTATCTACTTATATAACAAGGGAGGCTTAGTGTTCAATTTTCTGAACTCTACCTGCCCTTTTTCCAAAGAAAGCCGAGAACAAGCCTCGCTTATCTTATCTCTAGTCATCCAAAGGAGGAAGCCATGGGCCCTGCCAAGGCAAACAGCCAGGGGAAAAGCTGTTTCTTGTTTTGTTCTCAGAGCAAGAAAAATTCCCCTGAACGAGGAAATTCCCAGCTGGATCTCAATGTGCCCTGGAATCAGATGTGTTTTTGCCCAGAGATTAGGATTAAATTGTAATAATAATAATAATAATAATAATAATAATAATAATAATAATAATAATGTGGGGAAAAGACAGAGCAGGTGCTCAATTGCTAAAAAGAAATTATTCATTTTGTAAATGTAATATTCTATTCCTCTATACACATAATAGAAGTGAAAATATGTATGTCTGTATGTTGTTGGAGTGTCCACTTAAGCAGATAAGCTCCTGCCTCCACAAACCGCTCTAGCTCCCACTACTCAGGAGACACTACTCAGGAGACATTGCAGGTTATAGTGAACGCCATGAACATGTCAAAGAGCCCTGCCAATGTCTCTCTCCCCCCCCCCCAATACTATCCTGCCCACCACCAAAGTGAAGGCTTTCATACGGTGACAATTTCATCCTAGATTTTATGTGTTTCCTCCACCACAGACACCCCAGTGTTTCTGACTCTCTCCATTGATGTGGAATTTGTATGACTCCACCCACTGCCTCTCCCCTAACCCTTCCCTATTCTTTTCTATAGCATACAGCAAAGAGGAATTGATCAGCAACTGAACATACTACAGAGGTCTGCGGAGAATTCCCCATGATTTATACGAGTTGTAAGTCCTGGGATGTATAATTCACCTGCAATCTAAGAGTACTCTGAACTTCACCAAGGATGGACCTGGAACTAACTTGGCACACAGAACCCTCATGACCAACAAAACATACCTCAGCAGACTGAAAGCCAAAACCAAGGTTACAACAACATCTGTTATAGAACTCCAGTATGCTGATGACAACGTCATCTGTGCGCATTCAGAAGAAGATCTACAAGCCACTCTAAACACCTTCGCAGAAGCATATGAGAAGCTCGGCCTGTCATTGAACATCGAGAAAACCAAAGTGCTGTTCCAGCAGTCCTGTCCAGCTTCATTCTACTATTCAGGAAGACACCATCCAATCCCTCTTGACAGATGGCTATCTAGTCCAGCTTCGTTCTACTATGCAGGGAGACACCATCCAATCCCTCCTGGCAGATGGTCATCCAGTCCACTTTCATTCTACTATGAGAGAAGGCACATCCAAACCCTCTCTAGAGATGGCCATCCTGTCCAGCTTCATTCTACTATTCAGGAAGACACCATCCAATCCCTCCTGACAGATGGCTATCTAGTCCAGCTTCATTCTACTATGCAGGGAGATACAATCCAATCCCTCCTGACAGATGGCTATCTAGTCTAGCTTCATTCTACTATGCAGGGAGACACCATCAAATCCCTCCTGACAGATGGCTATCTAGTCCAGCTTCATTCTACTATGGAGGAAGACACCATCCAATTACTCCTGACTGA